GTGAAAAGGCCATCCACCTCTCAGGAGAAACCTGTAGGAGGGTTTTATTAAATCTGGCTGGAAAACTGACTATACCCGGTTCAAATTGCTGAAGCCTGAGATTTTCAGGAGAGTGGCTTTATCTGATAAGCCTCTAAAAAGGAGAGGAGACTTTTTCTTTGCTCCCTTACGGAGGTAGGAAAGAAAAGTGGAGAGAATTATTCAGAGAAGGAATTATCATCACGTGTCTTTTTAAGGGAATATATAAATTTGTGGAGAATATTTCCTCTTAAAGGGCCAAGAATATTGGATTTAAAACAAAAATGTTTTTAAATGTTTATCATTAGCGATTATAATCTCAATTTGTTTTTGGAAAAAAAGTTACTAGTATGACTGAGACAAAGTGTCCTTTGATTTTAAGCAAAGAAACTCTTAGACCTTTGTGGATTAGGTGGTGAAAGGGGACTTGAATAATACTGGGGTCAATGGCAAATTCTTTTGAACCCATAGGATATATTAGCAAGTATCTATTTAGTCACTTGACCACTGCCTGCCTCCCGTTTTCCCATCTGCAAAATGGAAACAATAGCACCTACCTTCCAGGGATGTTGTAAGGGTCAAGTGAGTTAATATTTGTAAAGTGCTTTCAGCCAAACACTAGGGATGAGGATGCAAAGAGAAAACTGTGTAGGCTGCTAGAATTAAAATGCTTAATGAATGGTTTGGCCTAGAGATAAATACTTCTATTTTATATATTTTATTTCCCCTAGCTATTATTCAATTCAAATGTACCCCTTCTTTGAGTCCTGAACTTTTATTTAGTTTCCTGACCTAGTAGTCATCCCCTCTCTCAGAAGTGTTATTTTCTTTCAATTTTTTTTTACTTGTTCCTTGTGGTCCTCCTACAAATGAGTTCAACTTGGGTTCTCCACTTTGTGTTCTTTATAATCACTCCATTCACATTATCCTTCATTTCTACTCTTCAGGGATGACCTCTATGCAAAGGACTCTTGCCCATCTGTACCTCAGGCCTTGACCTTTCTCCTGACCTTTGGACTCTCCACTTCTCTGCCTACAGAACATAACCATCTAACTGTCCTATTGGTACCTCAAGCTCAACATAGAGGATGCATGGGGTAGGACACAGATGGATCCCTGCCTGCCTGCTGCATATTGACTTAGAAAACCACAAATCAACATTATCTATGTTTAGTTGTATTTTTATTTTGTTAAGTATTTTCCGGTTTCATTTTAATCTGGTTTGGGGTCCATTCAAGAGTGTTGCTGCCATGCATCTGACACCTCTGGTGTCAGTGTTTTACTTTTACTCAAGAAGACCTGAGTTCAGATCCTGCCTCAGACACTTACTAAAGGTGAGGCTTAGTTTCCTAAAAATAAGGAGTGATAGGATCGTAGATTAGAGCTGGAGAGGAGACTTTAAAAGCGATGGACTTGACCACTAAGGTCCTTTCCAGTTCTAAATCTATGCTATGTATGAACAAAACTTACCTTTTTCCCCTTAGTATGTTCCTCCTATAATTTTTAAATTTCTTTCAATTATATCATTCATTCAATCTCCCCACCACTTCCAGGAAGTCTTCCTTAATATCTGTCCTCAGTAATGAAACATTTCCTCCCCTCAGGTTTTACTAGTGTAGATGTTTTGGTGTAGTTTTAAGTACATTAAGACTTTGGGAATGCTTCTGTACTTTGTACCTCTCATAAAAATATTATTGAAATACATGATAAATATTTGCTCCCTATTAGACTGTAAATCCTAGGAGATTGGAAACTATGCCTTATTTAAACTGTATCTCGCTAAGCACCTAGTTATTGTTGGAATTTTAACCTAAATTTAAGGTTAACAAATACTTGTTGGTTGATTGTTTGAATCTGAGAGGTGCTCTCTAGTACCAAGCCACAGGACTATATTTTTGACCACTTTTTTTTTTTAATTAGTGACTTGGCTGAGACAAGGAAATGATTCTTATCAAATCTGTAGATGAAACAAAAGTGGGAGAGACAGCAAATATGATTAGCAGCAAGACTCAAAACTATCTGGACAGGCTAAAACTCTGGGCTAAAATCAAGATTATATATATCCCTAATAAATTTCAAGTCCTGAATTTCAATTGAAAAAAAAAATCAATTGTACCAGGCTGCTGTGGAAGATACCTACCTTGGCAGCATCTCACATGGGCTCTTAGTGACATCACCAAGCCTGGTGGACAAGGGTCTAATTTGGAACATAGCAAGCCAAGTTCCTCTCTCCTCTCCACCCCACCCCCTTAAATAATGCTTCTTCCATGTACTCCCTTCCCTTTAATTAAATTCCTCATGGCATGGGGCAGTTTGTAGTTATTAACTGAAAAGTTTTGTAGAAATAGGACAAGCTGAAGAGGGGACAACTGACCCATGGAGAGGGTGGGGGCTAAGCAGGCACCTGGGGCCCTGCTCCAGAAAGTCCCCCAGGTACTGTCTTCTTTGGCACTGACTGACCACCCAGTCAGTCAACGGGCAGTTGTTAAACACCTACTATGTGCAAGGCACCTTAGTAAGCACTAGAAATACAAAGAAAAGCAAAAGACAGTTCTTGTTCTCAAAGAGTCTAAAGGAGGAGATAACATGATAACAACTGTATTACAAATAAGATATGTACAAAGAAGGTAAATTGGAATAATCAATAGAGGGAAGGCACTAGAATTAAGGGAGATTGGGAAAGGCTTCTTGTAGAAGGTAGAATTTTTAGCTGAGACTTGAAGAAGGTGAGGAGACAGAGATGGGGATGAGGAAGGAGAACAGCCAGGCATGGGCACAACCAGTGAAATGTCCAGTCAGGATGTCTTATATTGGTTCCCACCCAGTACATACAAAGCACTGTCCCAGGCCTCAAGAGAAAGAGTAGTAACATCTTTGTCTTTTGCTAACCTTTTCCAAGGAAGGAGATGTGTGTTGTGTGGGTGCAGAAGCATCAGGTTCTATTTGTGGCAAGTAGACAAGAAGATGATAGGAACTTGGAGGGATCTTGGACTATCTAGCATAATTCTTCCATTTTATAAAAACAACAGCAGCTCACATTTTGTAAAAAACAAAACAAAACAAAACACTGCTGTACACTGCTGTACGTTAACTCATTTGATCTCATAATACTGGAATTCAAATACAGCCTTGGACATTTACTAGCTTTGTGGAACCCTGGGTAAATCACTAAACCACTGTCTGCCTCAGTTTCCTTGAGTATAAAATGGGGATGATAATAGCACCTATCTCCCAGGGTTGTGAGGATCAAATGAGATAATATTTGTAATGGCCAGTATATAGTAGGTGCTTAACAAATCAAGCTTGTTCCCTTTTCTTCCCCTGTAGAAGTAGCTAAGTATTATTGTTCCTATTTTACTGATACAGAAGAAGATGGAAAGGACCACTTGTCCAAAGTCACAGTAGTTAATCACAGAGCCCAAATTCAAACCTAGCTCTTCTGCCTCCAAATTCCTGTACTTCAGTGGTAATTTTAAAAACATTTTCTTTTGAGGGGGGTTAATTATTTCCCTCCCTCACCCAACTCCTCCCTTAGGTCTGCCCTTTGGGCTGCTTGTTCCCTAGTTTGATCCACTGTCTTTTCAGGTCTTATTGATATAGGTGTGCCCTGTCTCTTTTACTTTTTAGAGTGAGAGGTCCCCTAGGGCAGGGACCTTCTTTTCTAGTTCCTCTGGCTTCTCCTCTGAGCCCTGCCTCACCCTTGACTCGGAGTTCCCTGGGCTGAAGCCTGCACCTAGAGTGATCCAAGAGCATGCCCACACACACACACACACACACACATGCTGGTGTCTCAGAGCTAGCTCTGAAAGGAAGTGGGAGGACTCTATTAATCTCCCATTGAATAAGTCAAAATAAGAATTCCCTAGCTCTGAGGCTAGGGGCCTAAAACTTGATGACCTCATTATAAAGGAGTCCTTTCCTTTGTTTCCTACTAGGTCCTACCCAGGTTATCCCTACCCCAGCCTCACCTTTTCTTCATTGTGCTAATTTCCTTACCTCATCTGAACTATATTCCCAGTGACTCCCTTTACTTCTTTCTGTCTCTTCCTCTCCCTCCCTTCCTCTCTCTCCCCCTTCTATGTTCTCATCTCTCTCTCTCTTTCTCTGTTTCTCTCTCTTCCTCTCACTCTGTCTCTATCTCTGTCTCTCTGTGTGTCTCTGTTTCTCTCCTCCTTTCCCTCTCCTTTGTAATCTCTCTCTCTCTCTCTCTCTCTCTCTCTCTCTCTCTCTCTCTCTCTCTCTCTCTCTGTCTCTGTCTCTCTCTCTCTGTCTCTGTATCTGTCTGTCTCTCTTTGTCTCTGTCTCTCCCTGGCTGTTCAGGTGTCTTTAGAAGCATCGCTAGAGAGGGAGGGGGGTGGACTGGCATACTTTTTTTTTTTCTTGCTGGTTTTGGGTCCAGGGCTCAAGAGGTTCTGAATGTCAGTAGGGTTTTAGTGAGCCAGCAGCAACAGTTCCCAGAATTATGGAGGATATTGATAAAAGGGGAAAAAGTCTTTCATATCTGTGTCTGACTAACCTGCCTTTGTAAGTGAGTATTATATGAAGGGAGTGGGCCTTTTTCTGAAACTGTTTGACAAAAATTTTGGGAAGAGGAGAGTGATGAGCATAGGAGATCCAAGAAAAAGATTAGATACCATTCAGAGTAAGTCTCAGTGACCTTCTAAAGATCAGGAGGTAGTGGAAAGTGGGAGACCAGATTTGGAGTCAGAGGATCTGGGTTCAAATCCTGTTTCTACAACCTCACTACCTGTTATGTTGGGCAACATCTTTAGCCTTCCTATACCTCAGTCTTCTTATCTGTAAAACGAGGGAATTGGCCTATTTCTTCTAAGGGACCTTCCAAATTTAGACCTCTGATACTATGACCTTTCTAATACATTGTGATATGGCCATATCGTGTTCTCCTGGCCATGAGAACCCAGGTCAAGAGAGTTCCATGGAATTGTTTCTCCTCTCATCTCTTAAGTCCTATAAAAACTCACTTGTCTGGGTCCTCAGAGCCGTTTTGGCATTTTCAGCTTTGTTTCTGGGTATGTCTCTTCTTGTCAGGTGAGCATATGTCTGGATCTTCTTCCCTTAGATACTTTACAGACCCTTTGTACCAAAGGTGGCAGGCTTCTAGTCAACAACTAGGAAGTCTTGGAAGTTTGATGGCTGCAAAAGGCCACAAAGCTATTATCTTTTCTTCTCTCCTGGTGAGGTATGCTGAGCCAGAAGAAAAGTTTTCATAGACTTAAAGATAGAAGAGATGGCAGAGGTCTTGTTGAAGTATATCGTTATAGAGGTGAAGAAACTGAAACCCAGAAAGTCTGGTCAAAGTTCCCAGAGGCACTGAGAGGTTAAGTGGTTTTCCCTTGGTCACCAACAGGGGACTGAAC